AGTTTGTGCGCGAGGTGAGTACAGTGGATGCCGAGAATATTGAATGAACACGGGAACTGTACAATATAAAGTGAATATAATATGTAAAGGACTTCTATAGTACGCCTAAATAATATATATGAAACGGCATTTTAAAATCGTTTATGAAAGTAAAGTATATCATATGCTGAGATACATAGTGTGTAGGGTTCAATATGCTTAGGCCCCAGATACTAATGTCAGCACAGGTATTAGCAGGAATAAATGAACTAAATTGTATCATCAGCGGGGGTGCATGGTCGAGAATAGTATATGTATACTATAACGCGATCTAAATTGTGCTATTATCGGGGGTATATAATAGGCTGAGGTACAGCTTTAGATATAAAATTAGCATAGAGAGTAAATTGGGATAAGATAAGTATAAGATATGATTGGAAGCGTATCATATGCTGAAGAACATGATCTAAAATAGCTATACTCATATGTATATATTTTAGCAAAAGAGCTTTCAGCTAAAATATATACATATGAGTATATGCTGAGGTACATGATCTAAAATATACGATACACCGTCGAATGAACACAGTTTAATGTATTCCAAAAAATAAATAAATGTGGCTAAACAACTCAAACAGCATGGTCTAAAGCTAAACAATCAGAAGTATACCATAAATCATCCTTGTGATAAGAACTTCAATAAATTTATAGAAACTCAAACTACAATTAAATTCCCATTTTAACCAGGTGGACTACCAATTCTATCAGAACACCGTGGACGTTATAATACCGGATGTTTTGCGCTCGATACCCAACGCGCTGACTCAGGCCATTCGCAACTTTGCCAAGAACCTGGAGTTGTGGCTGTGTGAAAGCATGATGGGCGTGCCGGAACAGTTGTCCCAGATCAAGACTAGCGCCGTTTCCGCATTTTGCCAGACGCTGCGTCGCTACACATCGCTGAACCATCTGGCACAGGCGGCACGCGCCGTTCTCCAGAATGGTGCGCAAATATCCCAAATGCTCAACGATCTGAATCGCGTGGACTTTCACAATGTGCAGGTATGTTGGCTAACTTGAGTCCGTAGGCTAAATGAGAGGGAAAATAATTTGATTCTATTGCAGGAGCAAGCAGCCTGGGTGAGTCAGTGTGCACCGGCTGTGGTGCAACGTCTGGAGCACGACTTTAAGGCCGCCCTGCAGCAGCAGAGCTCATTGGAGCAGTGGGCCAGTTGGCTGCAGCTGGTCGTCGAGTCCGCGATGGAGGAGTACACAGGGAAGCCGAGTTACGCACGTGCCGCCCGTCAGTTTCTGCTCAAGTGGAGCTTTTACAGCTCAATGATCATACGAGACTTGACGCTGCGGTCCGCGTCGAGCTTCGGCAGCTTTCACCTGATACGACTGCTGTTCGACGAGTACATGTTCTACCTCGTGGAGCACAAGATCGCCGAGGCGCAGCAGAAGACAGCCATTGCGGTTATTTGTGAGCGCATGGTAAGCCCCTTAGCACCCACTAACGAGAGTGCCGTCTATTAACTGTCCACCTTTGATCAGAAGAAGGAAATGGACTTTGAGTTCGAGTGCCAGTTCGCCTACATAACTAGCGACGCGGAGCAGCAGACAGCAGCTAGCTCGGTCAGCGGTCCGGCAGCGGTGGCAGCAGCAGCAGCGGCAGCCGCTGGAGGCGCCCCAAGTGCGGGCAACGAGGCCAAGCGCCTGAAGCAGGAATGAGAAATGAATCGACAGAGTATTTGTATTTATAGAATTTGTGTTAACTTAAATTATTCGGCTATACCCATTCGATGTGCACGACTCCCAAAGCAAAGTTCACTTCACCTGTGCATTTAATAGTCAACGGGATGTTTCTATGTATGTATTCGTGTATTGTTAGGTTGTAGCTTAAGTTCTGCTCAACTGTTAACGTAATCAGTTAAAGTATACATATGTGTATATATGTATATGTATATATATATACAGTCAGATATGTAGGCAAATGCATAAGTATTGAAGATGAATTGCCCCCGCATTCAAGTGAAGAACCGTCCAAGCAGCAAGCTAGTCATGCCCCTGCAGCGTTGACCTTGTCTGATGATCTGTTTATGTAATCGCACGAGATGCATTTTAGTTTAGTAAGTACATGTGCATTAGTATTTGTGAACGTAGCGTCTAACTGAACTACTATACTTGTGTTTAGCTCTTAAGGAAAGGCGTATTGTCACAACAGTTTTGTCTGGTTTCAATGATAAATTGTACAGCATAGCGCTCGGCGCATACATGCAAGAAGCACACACACCTTCACATACACTCACACATATATACAAATATATGTATCTATGTATACAGACGTAGGTACGCACGAGTAAAGATCCACCAAATGCACTAATTGCAAAACTGTATAGATTAGTTAAGAAAAAAAGTTTAGCTCATGCTGAAACGGCTTGCTCAATGCTAAAAATAATACCTAATTTAATATAAGTGAACAAACAGGCCTTAAATGTGCAAATATCAACACACTCGCTCAACTTTGAGAAAGGAATAACAAATTTGGCAAAACCGAGATACTGAAACATTTTACTATATACCTATGTGCGTGCATATGTGTGTGTGTCCGAATACCATCACATATTTATTCAGATACATATATAAATAGTTATTTATATATATATATTGAAAGTGCAACTGAACATTTGTATTGTAATTCCTGAGGCATATACAAAGAGACAAGAACGTATATATATATATATGATATAAATTGATATATTTTAACAGAGGCACCCAACAAAGTATTTTATGCCATTTTAGGTATTTATTGTAGCAACAAAACCTTTTGTAAGCCATTCAACTAGATTAGTTCAATGTAAGTGAAATGCAAAGAAACTCTAGTCTTAAACTGCAAGAATTGAAAGAAATCACAGAAGAAAAGAAAAAATCAATATTTTATGTTACTTTCGGCAAGTTCCGAGTTGTAGTCCATATCGAAGATCATAAACAAGCTATGCAACCTGAAGCATATAATACTCTCGGTACATATGGCTCGAGAGCCATATATTTATGTATATTCATATTAATCCCTCTAAATTTTAAAATCTATATGTTTCCCAAAATTGTGTTGTGTGACCTATCTTTAAGGATTGACATTTAAGATATCCCTGCACAATGCGAAGCTCAATGTCATTCAGTTTACCCACAAGCTGTAACTCGGTCCGATTTGGCATGGCTCTGTTTTTATAGAAACCAAATATCGGACCACAAACCTTTTCGATTGCTCAAGTCAAGCAACATTTATAATAACGAAATATAATATTACGAAATGCATTGCTCAATTTGCAAATACTAAGCTGAACTCTTGAGCTTTATTGGTTGTAAAACAGGAAACAAAATATAACGATAATAATTGAAATATCAATTCAAATCGAATCTACCTATTTATAAATGTGAAAATAAAGATGTCTAAAAAACAACGAAAAAAAACAACGAATGACTTTGTATTTATTTGGGGGCAGATGAATTAAAAATTGCTAAAGAACACTATTGATGTTTCATCATAGTATTTATTATTTATTTAAAATAATATTTCCCGCTGGGCGTAACCGAAAGACCTCATTACTGAAGATACCAAATGCCAGTCTATCGACACAGATATAAGAACATATAGAGTACAACACAACAATACAGATAGTACATAAACCGAATAAGAGTATACTCTTTTTACTTCGTAGAGTGTAGAGTTCATTCATTCAAACATCCTAGGCTGGCCTCATTCCTCATTCGGAATCTGAAGGAGAAAAGACTTGCACACATGCTAATCCAAAATACATAAAATATAAGCTTTTGACTTACTTATCTAATTGATATAATAATGTATGAGTATAATAACTAGATTAATGTGGATAATATCTACATAAATATGTTAATAAACATATATGATATTGGACAAGAATGAATGACAATATATGATAAACTGAGATACATACGAGAGCTACTGTGATCTATTCTGAACTTTTTTTAAATTCTTATAGAGTAACCTATCTATTATCACGATTTCCTATGGCATATAATTAGATCATAGACCTCCCCATACGTTGGTCGTAAATTCCTCAATGTTCTTCCGCAGTCCACTTGAAGCCCAGTGCAGGCGGCCGTCAATACAATGCTCATGCTCAAGCAGATATATCCTCTTCTTTATATTATTCTTTTTCGTTTTCTAAACTTTAAGATCATAAATACATAAAATTTATGTTGATTACAAAAAAAACATATTAAATTCAGATTCTTAAAAATGAATACCATATACCTTTAGTTGCCTATATACGAACCTCTGAAAACAATAACAATAAAAAATACTTTACAATTATTTTGTTTCTTTTTCTTCTTTTTTTTTTTTTTTTTTTGGTTTCAATTGTGTTTTACATATTGATTTTTCAACAACTCTATACAAAAATTGTTTATTTTTCTTAAAGTGATTTGATATTTATATATATATATTACATATAATATTTATAACTCTAATACAAAATATCTTAAGTTATAATTAATCATGAATAATACAACAAATATGTATGCATGAATATTGTGTCTGTATGTGTGAAGTGGCTATGAAAAAGAAAAGTATATTTAAATGGAATTGATCGCATCGACTGCTGCTGACTGTTTGATAATCGTTTTTATCGTTTAGTTAATTGACATAATTGTATTTTATCTTATTTCAGGTAGCTTAAAAACTGTTTGTACTTTGTATTTTAAATCTGAGGTCCTGAGTCCTGAATATTCGGCTGTAGATTTACGTTCAAGTGAGTTCAAGTCTTTTCGTTCGGGGAATTTTGACAATTCGTTTGGAATTCTTACAGTGTTGTGCGGGTTTGGTTGTTTTGGTTGCTATATCATTCATTATATTATAATTAACATACATTTTATTTACATCTAAAATAGTATACATTTCTTTCATAAGAAAAATTATTTACATACACATACAAATGTAATATGATGAAATATTTTTAAAATTTAATTGACTCTACATTTTAGAATAATTAGAGAATTCAAATTCTAATAACCTTGTATAGTAAATAGTATATAACATTTATACTTGGCAGCATGTTCTACCAACGTCTGTCTCACGAATACTGGACCGGCAAGTTTTGGATGGTTGTTTTCAACATTACCTACACAAATGTATATATAGAAAATTCGCTGAAAAATGCTTATAAATGCCATTTTTATGTACAGTTAACAATTGTGGAAATACCTATAAGCGATATTTCGTTGTCTGAAGTTTAGATTAGTCATACTTAAATATAAATTCAATTCGTAATTTTTGCCTGTTTCATTTTCTCAACAATTTTTTTACTCAATTTATGAAAAACAATAGTCAAAAGTAATTAATGTGTATGTTTATATAATTTGTTCTTTTTTTTTTTTTTTGGAGATCAATTTCAAAAACGCTCATTATAGTCAAGATTTTGAAAAACTATTAACACTATTAATGTTTCGTCATTTTTGGATTTCGGGAATTGAAACAATTACAAGTATTATCAAATTGGATGCATTTCTTGAGTTTTCGCTCAAGCGTCAAATTTTTCTTAACCAAACTTTCTAATTATGTGTCAGATATAATGGGAAGTCGTATATCTTATTAATTAATGCTTGCAACATAGACATTTATTTGAAAGCCCCCTTCAATGTACATAGAAATGAATACAAAGCGCGCGACCAAATTGAATATATAAATATGTTTGTATAGAAGTGCATATACCGATATATATATATATATATATATATATATATATGCATTTAAGTCGAAACTGCACTGTGCACATACAAAAACTGACTTAGAAATAGTTTTAAGCGTAGCTGATTGGTATTTCTAAAACGTTAACCTAACACTTAGTGTGTATGATCTCTATATACATATTTGATATATATATATATATATATATATATATATATATATATATATATCTAAACATATATATATGCATGAATATAAAATGACTGCTTAAATAATGCGATTAACCAACGGCATTTTCCGACGATTGTACGTGGGCGGCTGTTGCTGCTGGTGCAGGACTTGATGTACCTGCTGCACTTTAACTTTCTGGCCATACTGCTGTTCCAGCTCACCGGCCGGACCGATGGTGTAGTTGATGTCGAGGCGAGCACGTTTCGGTGACTGATAGCCATCGTTAGCATTTAGATCGGCCGGATTGAGCTCAATTATGTTTGCTGTCTGCCCATTGACTATGCCGTGGCGCACAGTCCGCTTCCCAGTATCGATGTCGATATCTTCGTACAGTTCGTCAACCTGTCGGAGGAACACGTCACAAATGTCAATGAATATAGTTCATTCATTCAAAGATCTATCAATCTTACCACAATATCGAATTCTCCGTTCTTTTGCGAAACGATCAGCTGATGGTCAGTTGGCGGGTGATTGGCTGCTTGATTGTTTGGATCATACTCATGAAGCACATGCTCCTCTTCATCCTCGCTGTTTTCCCAGCTGCGAATCGAAATCAAAGTATTATGAATTTGAATATTAATATTTGTTTTCTTCCGACTCACTCAACGTTATCGTTGTCCTCCTCTTCGACAAGCATCGCATCGATCATGGTATCATCGAAGTCATGCTCCTCCAAATCAGAGGACTCCTCGACTTCAGACTGCGAATCCAGCTCCACATCTGAATCAGCCGATCCGTGCTTCATTTCGCCTCGCTCAAGTGCCTCTAAATGCTCGGGATAGACCATCGCGCCGCGTATTGCTCCTGGATCCTTGCGCGACCACTTCTGCACCTCCTCGTCCATCTTGCAGATCCGCTCCGGATTCATGGCCCAGCGGCAACCCTTTCGCTGATTGCCATTCGTGGCCGGCCGCTCAATCTTCTCAAAGCACTTGTTCAGCGACAAGTTGTGGCGCACGCTGTTCTTCCAGCCGCTGGGCGCATTCTCAAAGTAGGGAAAATGCTGGCACAGGAAACTGTAGATCTCCGACACGGGCAGGGAGCCGGCACGCGAGTTCTTCAGCGCCAGCGCAATGAGGCAGGAGTACGAGTAGGCGGGCTTTGGGAAGGCGCTGCTCATGGCTGCCGGCTTCACCTTCTGCTGCAGCGGCTTGACGATGTTGCTGCCGTTGCTATTGCTGACGCTGCTGTGGATGCCACTGCTGTTGCCGTTGCTGAAGCTGGAGTTGCCCAGCGGTGCGAATGACAGTGGCGAAGAGGTGGTGGGCCGTCCAGCTGTCGACGACGAAGTGGAGGATGGCGAGCCAATGCTGTTCTGCACATGCACCTGGTGATGCGGCGAATGGGCCGACGAGGCGATGCTCTTCGGTGCATTGCCACGCCTCTGCACGCCATTCGCGTGCAGCGTCGTTATATTGTGCAGCGGACTCGCCTCCCGATCGCGCTTCAGCACAATGTTGCCATTGGAGGTGATGGGAGCGCCGTTGGGAGACTTTGCCGATGTCTGCTGCTTCAGCTTGTTGTAGGTGGCGCTGTTGGCAAAAGTCAGGCCACCGATGCCGGGACCTAGCTTAATGGTGTTGGTGCTGGCACCGCCAGTAGTCAGTAGACTAGTGCCTTTAGGCGCACCCTTCGCCTCTTCCAGGCCAGACGATTGCACCTTGCGCAGCTCCGTTCCCAGATCCTTGCGTACAGCATCCACTGCCGACGAGTTACGCCGCTGTAGTGCGGCATTCGTGGCCATGGTTGGCGGTGCTGTGCCGTTACTGCCGCTGCTTACGACTGATGTTGAAATGGGCAGTGTGGAAATCTGCTTGGGTATGTGGGCCATCACCTGCTCTCTGCGCATCGAACCGGCGCTGACCTTCATCTGCGCCGGGGAGAAGGTCAAATGCGACTTGTGCTGGTCACAAGGGGAGGCGGGTGGCGCCTGTCCAGCTGCGGATGCCGATCTGCTCTGCGTTGTCGGCGCCCCACCGCGCGACTTGTGCGGGGACCCCGAGCCAATTAATGAATTCGAGCCGGAATTTGAGTTAATCAGCGGCATCACGGAGATGGGACTGACACAGGCGCCAACGTCCGCATAATAATCCGCCGTCGACCAGAAATTGGCGCACGATCCCATCCACTTGGCTGTAGGCGAGGCATGCAGTGCGCTGCTAGCCAAGAGATTCGCATTTGCGTTGTGCGTTGAAAATGCACTGCTGCTGCTATTGTTGTTGTTGTTGTTTATGGCAGAAATAGCCTCCAGAGCATGGTCGAGCGAGGACGTCAAATCACTGGAGCTGCCGACCACATTGGCTATCTCCGCCCGAATGTCCACATCCAGCATATCCTGCATGGAGTCGGACACATAAAAGTCCAGCGAAGGCCCCGTCGCATCCTGTGAACAAATATACATTAGATATACTTCGTAATGCTATCGTCTCTTCGCAAATGAACGAATGAATCTACGCGCGGAATTACGACTGCTGTATGCGAAAGCTAACATTAAAGCTTACTGTTATTCAAATCAAAAGCTTTACATTTGATAAGATCACAGATATTTTGAAACAATGGCAGATACTTTTCACTCTAAACAAAAGTTAATAATAAAAAATAAATATTTCTTTATATATTATTTATTATCATATATAATAATAAATAAATCCATTCGTTCCTTATTTATATCAATCATTTTTAAAGTAAACTTTTAAACTAAAATCTTTTGTTTTATATTTTAGACAACAAAACACTAAAGGACAAAGATACAGTTACAGATACAGATAGAGATAGATATTGTATATCTATATTAGGAAAAAAATAACTGAATCAAAATAAATCAAATAGGCAAGGTGACCAAACTTTCTAATTGTTGCGCAACAGTGTTGAATAATGTTAACTGATCAAACAAACCAATGATCAGCTGTTGCTCTACATTAACTGTTTTGTAGGTAACCATTTAAAAATAATACAATTAATTATATTGTAAACAATTATATTACTATTTACATAGGCATTTGCTGTTCGCATTCCTGCTCCGCTTGCAACCTGTTGTCATTTCTTAAATTAACATAGGAGACTTGCATTTCTGTATACATTGGCTCCACTTACATATGGACATACTCATATACATACATACATCCATATTAGTGGATTAGTGGATTCTTTAAATATACAGATACATAAATATGTATGTGCATGATTCATATCGAGTATATTATGCCATCAACGTTATCATTATCAGCCTTGTTGTATTGTATGTATGTATGTAGTTGTCATCATACTCGATTTGTTATACAAATGTCTGTATGTCTGTAGATGTTTGTATGTACATAGGATACACAATCAAGTATATACTTTTCCTTTTTTAATGTGCACCAACAACAAGAACTGACATGTTCATGGGAACGAAGCAGGAGCAGTGTCCAAACCGGTTTTACGCTCCACGGCAGGCATCGAAAGACAGACACAGGCTGCATATGGCACACAGCATACCATCATATATGTATGTATGTATGTGTGCATACGTCTGTACATATCGGCGCCAATGTCCAGCAACAACAAACGTGAATTACAACACATGCATTTCAGTCACACATACATATGAATAACAGTGCCTGAGCCTGGGATATGTGCATACATATGTATGTATATCATTGCATGCAGGCAGGCAAGTATGAATCAAAGGCCACCATCTTAAACCGGATATCAATAAAATCGAAAGTTTTATGTAAACAGACTGATGCAGCCGAACAAAACATAAACAAGGCAACATTTTGTACTGTACATCATACTGATGTATAAATGTTGCACGTGATTACAGATGATCGACTGTACATACATATGTATTTATGAAATATACATCAGCACATGAATACTAAAGGGTCGAGCTCAAAGATCAAGTCTAGAAATTACTTATTACAGCTGCAAACTAAGTGGATACATACACACATATACATACATACAATCATGGATATATTATGCAGCATAAAGATATTTGTATATTTGCTGCCTTTATAGGAACAAACAACGAGCCTATGCTAAAAACAACCACCGCTGCAAATGTTGCCAATCTAAAAATGTTGCAGCAACATTTCACGGCGAATATACGAGAAAAGGGGAACAGATATATGTATGTATGTAAGTATGTGCGTCTGTACGTCTGTTTATATGTATGTTTGTAGGTCTGTACATCGAAAAGCAGAGAAAAAAAAGGAATAAAGCAAGCGAGTGGAAGAGAAACCACACAGAAAAACTCTGCTACTCTTTATGTTGAAAACATAGAACATCGACCGCACAACACAGAGTTCTCTGTTGAGCGCACAGGCACACCAACACAGTACAGTTGGCAACAAAACATTCTGCAAAACGAAACAACAACAGAGTAGCAGAGCTGAAAGTTGAACAACTGTGCGCTCGTCTGAGTACTTTTTGTGATGTTGCGATAACTTGAATTCTGCTACGAAAAAGGGTAGTAGGCGCCAGTTTAACAGTTTAACAGCTCGAGCCGCTCAACGTGCCGCATATGTTAAGACATGCTCAGCAACATTTTGTTTTCATGTTTTCATTTTTCATGTTTTTTATGCTTTGAGTATTAGGCGCAACTTCACATTTTATACGACACTTTGTAAAAAGAGAGGCAAACGCTCGCGCCTGTTACATGCTCTTTGGGGTGGGTGCTGGCTGGTATCTGTAGGTGTGTTTGGCTTAGATGGCAATGAGAGCAGCGTGTCCTTGGACACATTCCAACTCATTGACCCGGCCGGCCCGACCCTGGCGTCTGCTCCCGTTGAAAAAATCGATAGATGCGCCACAAACACACACATACAGCGCCACATGCCGCATGCCGCATGCTCTACGAATGATGATAAGTTGCATAATTTAGCAGGATTCCATAAATTTGTACAGGCCTTCAATGCTGTTGGCGCGCGTTCTTTTATCAGCTCCCAAATGTGCTGGGATGTACACACACACACACGCACACACACACACAAATCCTGTGTCTGGCTGGTGTCTGGGCAGCTTTAATGCAAAATGAAAGGAAATTTTGAATGGAAAATACTGTGCAACACCTTCAAGAGGTGCGAACTGCAGAATTGACTTTGCCTCCTGCTCTCTCAGTGGTGTCCACGGCACCAGAAACAGGGCGTGCAACAACAATTGGGGCACAGCAGGTGTTGCACATTGAAAAACAACAGCAGCTGCCTCATCAGCAACAGTCATTTGGCTCTTTGACTTGTAATGCAACAAGCTGCACTAACTGAACGAAGCAATATAAGGGACATTCATATGAATACTAAAGTAAATGTAAATATATACAGATGTGTGCATGTAATATTTATGCACTAAAATAATAGCTTTATATAAGCATTATAAGCAAGCATAATAATAATAATAATAATTATGTATTATGTAATTATACATATGTAATTTTAATTTATGTAAAAATATGTATGTACATACATATGTATGGATGAAAGATGTGGTAGATGTAGTATGTATAGTAATCACATGGTGAATTTATATTAAAAATGATAATTACCAATTTGTATTGTGTTTAATATTATGGTATACATTTATTATGAATTAAAAATTGCATACATAAATTATAAAATGTTGTATTTGTCTTTATTTTATGAAAAATATGCATATATATTTTTCATTAATAATTTCGTACAGAAAAAAAAAATCGCTCAAATTATTATGAATTTAAACATGTTAAAATTTCTTTTATACTTTTGTTATTGGTAAAAATATTTTTACAAATTTATAAATTTTTAATAACAAGGCTATTATGTATTATTTTTTATTTATTACATATCGTTTTAATTTGTATCATACATATGTACATACATATTATACACACATGTATGTCCATTGCGCAAAAACTAGTTCAATAACGAATAAATAAAAGACTCCTCTGTTCCATTCAAGCAAACTTCATTCTATTATCGATATGCATTACTATAAAGTGTGCGTGTGTGTGTGCGTTAATGTGCGTGTATTAGTGATCCGATAACCTTTTGCCAAGCAGGCTGACAGACTGAGCAGGCAGGCAAGCAAGCAGGCAGATAGAGCAGACGGCAGGCAGCTGCAATTTGAGCACTCAGGGGTTGTCCCCGTATTCGTACGTACACACGCACACACACAGGCATACATACATACGTATGTACAAATTCATTTGACTGTATGTATACGAAAGTGTGGGTAAATAGCTGTTACTCTGTAAGTTGTGAAGTGCACATTTTCCAACGGAAAGGAAACTTCCTGCTTCTAATTGCCTTTACTCACTATTTGTCTTGGCTGGCAATTCATATCACCTGCATTACATATATGCACTCTCCTTCTCTTTCTTTTTTATAAAAAAAAATTGCTTTCGAAAAAATGTGCCGAAATAAAAATGCATTGAGCAGGCGATCAAAATTGGCAGCAGGCAAACGAATAGCAAAAAAGGGAAAACTTTATAAAACTTTAGTTTGCCGATTGAAGCCTGAAATTGCCGCCTTCTGTTGACCTTTTGAGCGGCGCAAGATTGGAATGGAAAGCATGGACACGGCCGACCTCACACATATGTACACACAGACATACACATTTGCATGTATGAATGTGTGCGTGTGTAAATGATTGGGCAGACGGCAGCATGCAGAGAGCTCAGTGTCGCACCCTTGGCTCAATTCGTGGCCTAGACAACGCAAGGCGACTGGGGTGCAGCATTTCATACGCCGCCTTGTAGAATTACTTTTGTGTTACTGTGTGCATGTGTGTGTCTGTGTTATCGGTAATTCCTTTTTGGTACCTTCGCCATCCTTTGCATCTGCTGTGCATCTTTTGTATTTGCTGTTACCTCGGTTATTTTTCTTTTTACACCGCTTTCACCTTAAAATTGTAATGGCTTGACGGCTCTGGCTCTGGCTTCGACTCTGGCACACAAATCCAAATCCGAATCTGGACTCGACAGAACCAGGTAAACGAACAAAATCAGCATGGCAGGCAACATTGCACCAACGGCAAATGTCTTCGCCGTAATTATGAGCGCCTATTTGTAAATTGCTTTATGTCCCGGGAAAAGCGACGTTGTAAATCAGTTTTTAGTCTATATTTATGATATCTTGTCTTTTTTGGGCTATATGCAAAAAATACATCCAGCACCAAAGGGTTGCCTCGAGGGTGGGTGTGTCCACGTGTGTGTGTGTGCGTGTGCGAGCCGTGAGAAAATCTATGCGGCATACAGCTGGGCGCTCATATTCAAGCAACAAACGAACCACAGCGCGCACTGAGCAGCGACATGTTGCCGGCTACATGAGTTTGAGTCTGAGTTTTTCTTTCCACAATCTGCCGATTGGGGGGCAAATGGGGTTTCACTCAAACTCAATTCGCCGGCCGGCTAGTCGGCGCGTTGAACTTTGAAGTTTATGCATGCCTTTACTTTTTTTTTTTTTTTTTTTAATTTTTATTTCTTGAGAGCGCGAGCGAAAGCTTTTGATGTGTGACCATTGAGAGCGCTTTGGCTCGGCTCTCGGTTCTCTTCTCCTCCATCACTTGTGGCGTTTCGAAAACGACATGAAAGACAAAAGCGTTTTGCTGTGTTTGCTTTTCTTTGTTTCTCCTCGCAAACATACATATATATATACATATGTATACAATATACATAAGAGCTACACTGGCACACACACACATACATTCAACACACTTGTAGCTCTCATGCGATTTTTCTGTGTGTGTGTGTGTGTGTGTTTGCAAATTGCTTCATGTTAAATATGACTTTAACAGGCGCGCATACTTCTAAAAATCTGTGGCGCTTATCAAAAAACCTTGTAGGAGGTCAGGACTAATATGAGTAATGTCTTACTAAAACAAATCATTAAACTTGAATATCTAACACTGTATGTCAATACAACAAATCGGTGTACTTTTATACATGTATATATATCATATTCCCTAATTTAATTTAATCATGCCAAATTTTCGACTACATAAGACAGAAGAAACCGCCAGCAAACGAGGTGAACGTTTGGCCTTCAAAAAGTTTAAAACGCAAAAAAACAAAAGATACAGCTTGAAGCAGCTCGCAGAACAGCGACAAACATATTTATATGTTCATATGTATACACATACATACAAAAGATACATACATACTTGAGTATGTTTACCAATAAAAAAAAAGTTAAATAAATTACGCATGATGCTTTGGATAGCTCCGAACAAGAGAAACAACTTATAATTATTTGTCGCTTTAAATAAATGAAGGTCATCCAACCGATTCCCCATCTCAAACTCAAACTCAAACTCATCCCAGCGAACAACAGTAACAGCAACCAACAGCAAAGTTTTCGCCGCCTTTTTGCTGCCTACGTTTTTAGTGCACACAACAGAGCGCTGTTGAGTCAGCAATAACATTAGCGCTGGCTTTACATCGACTTGGTCTCCACATACGATAATACCCGAGTTATTAACCGGACATAGCTCCAAAGTTGAGGAAGCATATTTATTTAAAAAAAAAAATCCTATTAATGGTCACATTATCGGCCGCTCTGTTCCGGCTATGACCGCTCTTTGGTCCCCCACTCACCACCATTAATCAGCACTTCCAGTGAATGTGACTTAAGAGTAATTTTAAAGATCGCAAACACACATACACTTACACGAGTGTGTAATAGTGTGGGTACTACTCGCTGCAAAAGTTGGCGAATCAATTTTAAAAAAAACGAACGTTAATACCGAAGCGAATTTGCCAACGAGCACAAGGCAAGCGAAACAAAAGAGAGGGGTAAACATTTTTTTTTGGCGAGTGCGCAACAGACTGGGCTCTGTTAAAGAGTGGCAGGGGGAACGCAGGTGCCAAAATACTAGGAAAAGTCTTTGTAGACTTCGGCGAATTCACAGTGAAACGAACGTTACAAGTTTGAAAACAAACGATAAAAGCTTGCCAGTTTATTGGTAAATATGCTTGTATGTGTGTTACCGGCCGGCATGCAAATTGGATTTCGCTAATTTGTATTTATCGCTGATGCTTTGTTGACTTTTGGTGAACAAATATACATACACACATGTGTGCTTCGATGTTCATGCGATTGTGCGGGAGTTAATTATGTATGTATGAAAATACTTACTGCATATTTACTGAAGAAGCCCTCGTGAATACTGCTTGAATAATCCTCTAATTCGAACATGTTGTATCCGTTTTACTGCAAATTTACTGTTGCATATGCGCTTTGTTTTGATCAATTTGCGATTCTCTCGTTTCTTAATCTCCTTGCTTATAAAACCGTTACACGACTGGTATAAGAGAACTACCGTTTCTTTGTATTTGACAATTTATTTCACACTTGCACATTTATTTTTGAAATATTTAAATATTTGTAAATATCAATTTTCATGTTGGTATAATTTCATTTTTGCACCGGTACATTTTGTAATTATTTTTAATAAGCTTCTCTTTTTTAGCAAAAACAATATAGCCACTAACAAAATTTTTTACCGCCGCACGTCCGCTCTGTTCGGGCTTGTTGTTGCATTTGAGATATTCTGCTTGGAAGAACGTATCGATATAATTATTGCAAAAGGTGAGTAAACGATATTTTCTCGATATATTCACCTCAATGTTAATGAAAGTATCAGTACTGTTAATGGCCGTTTGGAATTTAAATGTCTTTGTTCTTGAGAACATTAACTGAATTTTTTATATATCTATTTTTAACCCATAATGATCAATGATATTAAAGTTTGTTTTATTTCTTATTGTTTAAAATCAAAGCACGGGATCAAATTATTTTTCGGAAACAATAACCTAACCTAACTATAACAAATAAAAATGTTTAACACATAGTGATCCAGCTGTAAATTTGTTAAAGAAGAGCTAAATGTTTCTCACTGCTTCCTATTTGTTTATTATTTGAATTTAAGATTTTAAATAAATATATATGTGACAAATGATTAAATTATAGACATACAAAATAAAATGTGGACTATCGATATTATATTATAGTCCGATCAAACGCGCAATTTATCGAAAAGAATTTATTTCGCATAATTCACCACACACCAATCGTCCGATGTGAATATCCGTTTAATTTAAAATTTGGAGGCTTGAAAAATTCCGTACACAATAATATCTGACAAAAACATAAAATTCACCAACACAAAGCATATCAAAATAGATGCTAGCATTTTGTGAATAATTCACAAATTACATTAAATGTAATACCATATAATTCAGCGGGAAATTTTTATTATTTATATTTAGCAGATGCTGGTGGATAAGCTATCGAGCTGTCGATATAAAATCGACTCATTAGGCACTGTTAGTCGTAAATTATTATTAATATATCATCATAATGAGCTTCCAACAATATTAAAGTTTATTTGCTTTGTAAAAGATATTATTAATTTTTGAAATTTATATCTTAATTTAAATGATAATATAAATAAAAGACAAAATACCGAAGCAAAAGTAATTTCAGTATGATATTTTATATTTAATTTTGAAAAATGATATTTTAAACAAACAAAAAGAAAATATGGCAAGCAATTATGTATTAATTTCAATTTCGATATTTTGGTTACAATGTACAGATATATGGATAATATTTCAAAATATAATTCACAGTATTTAGGAAAAAAATTAAACAGTATAAATTTGAACATGTTTTTAATTCGAAGGAGGCTCAGCTCGTTTTAAGTATTTTAATACATAACAAATAAAAAATATAAAACTTCAATTCGCTTACTCTAAACGTTACACTGGAGCAACAATTCAAATGCAAGCATAATTCAGTTGTTGAACAATGAACAAAACTTACGAAAAAAATTTATATATACTATATGTAAATTAAATGAATTCAGCGAGCCTGCATGCGATAGTGCTATCAACGAATAAGTAATATATATAATATATAGAGTACTACTACCTATTTGTGACGTCTACCAAAAATTTCACGCTTAAAGCGCAACGCCGATTCCGTAGCTGGGTTACGAACCGGCGACGATGCTGATGAAAACGATGACGCCAACTTTCTGCCAATTATTTTTACCTCTTTGAAACCGTAGCGGGGCTTGGGTGATTGGCGAATCTCCTTGAAATACTTTGAGGTAGGCGTGCACGGCTCGACCTGCACAATGCTGGACGATGTCTTGAATGTTTCAATACGTTTCGGCTCTTTGTTGCTTCTAACTGTGACGTAACCCGCAGTGGTCCTTATACGTCTGGGAGATTGGTGATTCTCTTCGTCTGAGCTCTTCACTGGAGATACTTGAATCAATTTGTTCTTTTTCTGTTTGTTGTTTGTGGATCGCTGCTTCGCCTTTGCGGACTTGGTGTTATCCGGCGGCTGAGGAGATATTTTCCGCGCCAGAGACTGGGGCTGCAAGACCCAGAGCCAAGAATTAGACAGTCGAGTACATAATCCAAAATCCACAACTTACGTGATTGCTGGCGGTCTCCGGGATGAGCATATGCATAGCATGCTTGATGGCCTGCTTGGTGGCTTGCAGACGTTTCAAATCCTTTTTTATCGTAGTCTTAACGGGTTCTTGCTTAGGCGCGCCTGTTCCCACCTTAATGGCGTTGTCAGAGCTGCCGCCACAAACAGGTATAGTCTTGGAAATCGTGCGATCCCTTTGCTTTCTGCCCGCTGCAACGCGCTGTAAAGGATGAAAAGTTCATTACAAATTTTTAATTCGCGTCGGATTACGCTTCAGATAGCTCACCTGTTTCTTCTGCTCCAGCTTAGCTTGGTTCGCCGCCAGAATCAGGGTTTCACAATACTCCAGGTATTCGTCGCGGCTCTTTGTTGCAGTTGTGGCCAGTTTCTCCTCCTTCTCCGCTTCAACAGTTTCATCTACTTTGCTAACAGTTTTCTTGGGGCTTTCAATCGGCTCTGCTACCTCTTCTTTAATATATTCCACAGGTTCACGTTCACCCATTTCGATATCACTTTGTAGTAACTTATCACAAGTTCCTTCATTGGCTTCTCTCAGCATTTCAGCTGATTCGCTGGCGTGCAATCCGTCGACAGTGCCACAGAAGCTCTTTGATAAACGCTTCCGCTTGGTCCGCTGGCGGCTCTCCTCGGCCAGAGTCTCGATGAACGATTGTGATGGATTGACATCGCTGTCCAATTGTTCACTGCGACGCTTTAATTTCGGCTTTGGCTGCTTATCGGAGCGGCCCTGTAGATCCTGCACGTACAAAGTTTGGCGACGTGCTTTCTGGAGCGGATTGAACATCTGGCGCAGGTGTGATAGATCACACGAATCCAGTTCGGATAGAAGAGCCGCCTCTTCCTCACGCTTCTGGTTGGCATGGAATGTCGAGGACTTGCTAGTAGATGCAGCAGATGCAGCTTTTTCCTCAGATTTATCTAAATTCGGTTTGGTCTCTTCAACCTTAACAACGGGCGACTCGGTCAGATCCACCTCGTCATGGGATTCAGCTTCTGATATTTCATCGCCCGAATTGGGCAACTCTCCCTCGCTCACTTCATCCTCAGAATCAATCACTTCACAAGTACTCATATTGATAATCTTGGCATCCTTTTGCTCTTTCTCTTCATTGGAACTAGCGACAATATCCTCAAGCACTTCGGCTGCATCTTTGTGGATCTTTTGGTCTATATTAAACTCTATTGGCGGAGCTGTCTTGTTCAACTTATCGGATTTCTGAGGCTTTAATTGTGAATTATCGCATACCGACAAATGCAAACGTTTCTCAAGCTTTTTAGGTGACTTTAGTGGCTGCAGCTGCTCAGATGATTTAAGCTTTTTAGGTGACTTTAGTGGCTGCAGCTGCTCAGATGATTTAAGCTTTTTAGGTGATTTTAGTGGCTGCATCTGCTCAGATGATTCCTGACATGTACCGATGTCTCCTTTATCATCTACAGGGACTGATTCTTCTTTCGGTTCTTCAATATCATTTTCCTTCTTTTCTTGAACTATTTTTATCTCCTTTTCTGTTCCATCGATATCATCATTCTTATCCTTTTCACCGTTCTCTTGCACACTATCATTATCGCTGCTCCATTTTGCTTCCACTGATTCAGCAATATCATCATCATTATTTTCTTGAATATTCTCTTGCTCATCAGCATCATCGCTGCTATCATTGATAACAATACGACGTCTTTTTTTGGTTTGCGATTCCGGTTCCGGTCCAGCATCTTCGTCAGAAAAATGCAAAGGTGACAACATATCCTCATCCTCTTCATCCTCTAAACCATGCTCATCCCCTTCGTTGTCTAACATATCCACATCCCCATCATCATCTGATACTATAAACGAGAGTTTTTCATCGGCACTATCTTCTGACTGATCATCAGTAGTGTCCTTGCTGCCAACAGATTCGCCATCTACTGGGATTTCATTTGCCGCGATCTCTTCGCAAAGGGAGCTATCCATTGAGTCACCAGAGTGATAATCATTAGCAACCTCCACTTCATTGTCAAAATATTCGGCCACAGATGGATCTTGAAATACATTGTCCACGCCATCATCATCATCCTCTTCCTCATCCTCCTTCTCATCTATATACGCTATCTCCTCGTCAACGACCTCATCGTCACTGCCAAGGGGTGGGGTTGGCAATTTAGGTCTCTCGACAACTGGGTTTTTATCTGATAGAGGTTCTGATAGAGGTTTTATCATATCAATTTGCGGCGGTGGCTGATTCGATTCGTTGGATGCAGTGGATACAGTTTCGCTCGATGGTATCTCTAGCTTGGCCAGAGGTGTTGAGCTATTGCGCCCCTTTACGTTAATTGACTTCAAAGGCGTTGCGATCTTGGCCTCTGCAAGGTTAATGAATTCTCGTGCCTCTGGTATTTTAGTGCGTGCTGGAGTTTTCGGAAATTTGGGCTTAACAGTCTCCTCATATGGTCCACAGTTAGTGAAGACTACAGTTTTAACGGGCTCTGCCTGTTTTGTTCCCAGTAAACGTTTCTTTATGCCTGGTGTTAGATCGGGCAAACGAATATCATTGGTGACTTCAGCATTACCAGCTGCTGCTTCATCATTCGCTGGAGACACAACGACCGGGTCAACGGGCTTTGGCGGGACGTCAGCAGGGGCATCAACAGATTTCTTTATCTCAGCTTTGTCTTCGATAATCTCTGCTTTTGTAGCGTCAGGCTCTTTATCCTTGACAATGGATACATTTAGATCCTTAGTGGACTGTGGCGTATCTTGCTTGCCGCTCATCAGGATATCTTTGACTTTTACCATAACTTTAACAGTGGCCAAAGCAGGAGTCATAGGATCCTTCGTGGCAGCAGAATCGTTTGATTCTTCAGTTACGCCTATATCAGAGTGCAATGATGTCTGTGCCTCGCTTGGCGCATCTACAATTTCAGAAGCGTTTTCAATTGATTCTTTTGTTTGCTTTTTCTGTTTCTCTTCCGATGAATTTAGTGTATCAAATTGCAGCTGAGTTTGGTTCTTCATGGGCGGAGTCTTCGACATAGAACGCGTCACACGCCGCTCCTCTGATGATGATGATACGTTAAGCCGTTTATTTACATCAGTACCAGTTGGAGTGCGCTTGGAGTCAGCAGCAGCAACAGCAGCAGCTTTAGCCCCATCGTTGCTCCCTTTGATATTATTGTCTGGGTTGGACATACTCTGTGCTGCTGCCGTTTGACTAGCTTCCTCTTCAATTACTTCTTCAGGCAATGGCAACTTTCTGACCACCGCCTTGGCAGGGGTGCGCGACGACAGTTTAGTAGCCGACAAGGTCAAAGTTGGGGTAGCTGGCTCTGGCGTAACTCCGCGTGCTAGCGACGCACGGGTAGTCCGAGTCGGAGTTCTCAAATCGGCAGTGGCTGAGTTCAGACGTGTTCGACGAACTGGACGTGGAGATGCTGCAATAACAATACTCAGCATTGAATATGCGCATCAATAATTACGAAATGCACCTACCACGCTCTACAGTTGAGTCTATAGCTGGGGTCATGGCGCGGCCATCGGAATCTGGCAGAGCAGAAAGTCGCCGACTTCGTGCGCGAGTTACTGTAAATGCACAAAATTCCATATTAGCTGACCTTTATTCATACACAAACATTTCCACAGAGACAATGAAGCAACGCGCTTTCTCTTCGCGTGTGTTTTTAAATTCAAACGGATTTCCTACCGAAACATTTGTGGAGAAGCAACAAGCTGTAAGCGAAGCATTTTCATTGCAACTTACCACGAGGAGTACCGCCGTTATCTTCGTCCATTTTAATGTTGTTTCTTATTTTTATTTTTTGTAATCTTTTTCTTTATTTATATTAATAGTTAAAGCCTTTAAGACAAATTTCTAATTGTGAAATTCGATTGACAAACTGGACGACGCTAATCTTAGAAATGAAATAACCAAGCACTAAAAACGAGCACCGCCAAAATGACATGTGCCTGTGTGCGTGACTTCTTGTCAATTTGCAACACTGCTCACAATGTTGAAGAAAACATCGATTAAAAGTTTGGCGCCAGTAATTTAAGTAAGCACTACGATTTAAATGAACTTCCGCTAGGGAGTCTGAGTGGCCTACTTAAATTATTAAATATGAGCACCAAAACCCATTTTTTCTACATGTATGTACTATTTATTAGTTAGGTGCCAAAATGCTTAATGAATACTTACATATACTCTTTAATGGCAAAATTATTGCTGTAGGCCATAAATTCTAATTTGACAGTGGTTCTACAATTATAATTCTGGTTATAGCATCCCATACACACACATGCACACATGCATACGATCAACGGCTAATTTTTGAATTTACAATTTGCACAGGCAGCAGAATTAGGCAGAATTTGAAACAGGCAAATAAATGCTCACGCATACATACGTATTTTCTTGTGATCAACAACGCTTTCCCCCCGCTTACCGTTCCGTTAAATTATCTTGAAACCGCTAGCATTTTGCGTGAGCATTGTAGACCCTGGAATCGTCGCGAACAAATTTAAATTTACATGTGTGAGCTGATGCTTATGCAAAGAGAGAGGGATAGAATATAACGAGATGGGAATATGCACATATGTATATATATATGTACGTGCATATGTATGTTTACACCCATATGCTTCATGTATCAACGTAAGAATCGCCTGCACACTTTCTGTGTTGAAATTTGCTCTGCTTGTACAGTCTATATCTATGAATATAGTATATATGTACATACATGCTTATGTACATTCATATGTATGCTTTCTGTGGTTAGCGATAAGCTAGAGCTCAGAATCCTCAATGAATGAATGCCAATTATACATACATACATACATATTTATATCCATATGTACACATTTAGTTACATATATTACTATGTACATACATATGTAAATATCATATCATTACATTAATAAGAATATCGTAATTCATCAAGGTGTGTTTGATTTTGATAATCAATTTATATGTTGTTATGTACGTATTTTCTTATGTACATATATTGTTATGTATCGTTATGTAGGTATGTATATGTACAAACATTCATTCGTATATATGTACATATGTATGTATGTATGTAGTTCCCAGTTGGTAGCATAAAACGATTTTGGGTTACGATAGTATATCAAATTGTATTTATTGTATGTTTCTGTGTGAAGCCTTATCCAATTTCCGTTTTACAGAAGTCAAGCTCACCGTGCAAAATAATAAAATAAATTAATAAATGTTGGGTTAGGACAGCTCATATAAAGAGTTGTTAGGTAAGTGTATGGTATAATAAGATACATATGTATGTATATATGTACATACATATTAATTAAATTACATTGCAAGCAATTTTGCAACATTTTGTTATTCAACATTTTTCGATGACCCTTACTGCAAATATAAACTATAAACAAATGTACAATATTAACACAATTTACAGCATTAAGTATGTATATAAAAACACTAATATATACATTCATAAATTAAATATTTTAATCATATTAAATCATATTCTGCTTAGCAAACTCTGGGTTAAATTGGCTGTTATATTTTTGTACTATTCGTGGCGTAGGTGCTGGTGTGATGGCTGCTTTGGCTGGTATTGCCGTTTCCTTAGGTGCGAATAACTGTTCCTGGCGCTGTCGTTCCCTCTCCTCACGTAGCAGCCTCTCCTTGCGTAACCTGTTTAATTTATCGCGCTTCGCGTCTTCTGCGGCCTCATTGCTTTTCTCAGATTTACTCCTCTTACGCTTGCGTTTCTTATGCTTTTTGTCGTGTTTCTTTTTCTTTCTGTCTTTCTCATTTTCTCTTTGTCGCTTGGATTCAGGCGAACGCTCTGATGCTACCACTGACAAAGTTGGTGTGGGTGAGCGATTGCGTCGCTTAGTGACTGCTTGAACAGGAGGTGGCTTTTCTTTAGGGACCAGCGCATTTATCAAGGTTAGTGGATCTTGTGATAACTTTGCTTTCAATTGGATTTCAGTGTGATTTTCAGCTCGATTTGGGGCCAATTCATACCAACTTCGCACTTTCAGAGCTTCATTTGTGTCCTGTCCCAGGTATGTGAGGTACCCAATTTGTTTTTCATACTTCTCCTGTTCTTCTTTCTTCTCCTTTTCCAAATCTTTATTCGTTTTCTTTACATGACTTTTGTAGTCTGCAAATAAATCTACTGCGGATGTAACAGTAGAAGTTTGTGTTGTAGTTCCTTCTAATGGAATTTCACCACTTTCTTCGTTAGTAGACCCTTTTCTCACATTTTCTGGCAAGCCCGATTGCCGTCGAAGGTAGTTGATTCGCGCCTCGCTTTCCTTAATGGGTTCGAAAGAAATTATTGTTGACTTTTTCTTCGATTTATTAATATATTATTACTCACGGCCAATTTCAATTTGTCTAGTCGTTTGTTTTCGATTTCCTGGGCGGCTGCTTCGTCGCGACGTACGCGGGCAATATTATCTTTAGTGCGAACATGCCAGCTAAATATAGTAAAATACGAATTAATAAGAGATGTACTTCATAAAATTATATTCGCTTTACCGTTTCTTGGGTAAGATATTCATTTTGATGCTATTGCTGAAAAAATATGCGAATGTAAACAAAACGCGTTACAATGTGAATGTCAAAATCAGTGCTGTGAAACGAATGTGCTGAGCACAAAAATATACTACTTTTAAATAAACTTATAAATTTAAATTATATTATATGTATATATTTGCTGCTTGCATTGTATCGAAGTGGCTGGTATTTAAATATCATTTTTATTTTAACACTTAATTTTGAATCTACCCCTACATGCTTACACAACTCTGAATTGCATTTTTTGACAATTGGCAAACGCCAACGCGAATGGCAAATCAAATATTCATCTGTCAGAAGGAAGAAAAGGGGACACATATAGGAAAAACTGCAGCGCAGCAGCAAGAGTCCCGTCGAAAGTAATTTAAATTGTGAAAAAAATTTTGAATTAATTGTGAAATCAATAATCTTAAGCATAGGCAAAGCTCACATTGTCATCGAATCAAAACGCGCGTACGACGCCCGCATGTAGCTCAAGCATGGAACAGCGCATTCTAAAGCAAGACGGCTACTTGGATGTGGGCGATGATAGCAGCAATGACGGAGTCTTGCCTGGCGGAGCACCAGTGTTTGAAATTCGCAATATCGTGTATCATCCGCATCTAAATGTGCTACTTGCGTTCGGCGTCAACAATCTAGTGAAAGTTCTAGATGTCAATTCCGGCGTTATATTGCAAACGTATCAATTAAGTACAAATGGTAAGCAGCAGTAGCAGCAGCAGTTTTTTTTTTTTTTACAGGCATACACATACAGGCATACACATACATACATGTATATACGTAAAAATTACTACACAGACTTGCAAATACATACATACATATGTACGTATGTATGCACGAACAAATGTCAATTTATTGCATTGTGTTTTGTAAATTTGTCTGTATTCGTCAGGTTCAATATGCATATGTATAAATGTTTGTATGTATGTATGTCTGCATATATGTACATATGTCTGCACTTTAGTGCATGTTTAAAAGGAAACGCTGGACGTTTGCGAGGATATTATAAAATTAATGTCATTTTGTGTTTATGTTGGCGTTATGTATACACACATACATACGTACATACTATACATAAATAGACAGGAGAATTCTATTGTTATTGTTTCTACTTATTACGCAGTTTACGCATATGTTGCTTGCTCTAACATGGCATACATATGAGTATGTATGTGTATATATGTATGTATGTGTCTGCTAGATTAAACAAACCAATTAATTGCAAACCTTGATGAAATTGATGGTGAACTGTGAAGTGTGATCAATTTATGAAACTGTGTTTAATAATATATATTTATATGTATATATATTTTTTTTAATCTTGTGCAGCAGACAACTTAATCCATGGACGCTACATGCCATTGCAAGATAAAATCTTGTTCTGGGATGGCCACAACTTAGGCCTGCGCGGCGACTACAACGGAGTTTTGCTCTTGGATACCATATTGCAGGCGCCAATCGGTCAGAATGATGATTACATTAAGCTGGAGCTTATATTGTCCGAAGCGATCATCTTTCAGAACTGCATAAACGATCTGGAGAGTGAAGGCCTCGAGTGTCCGTGTGATATTAGTAATGAGCTGACACAGAAGATAAATCAGGCTCAGCTGAACACCAAGAAGGGCATCAAAGCACAACGTGTGAGTTTTTCATTTATCGCTTATTTATTTAATTTTTAAATATTATTTACATTAGCACTAAAAATGTTTTTAAAATTAATCAGATTAAACAAATTATTAAACATAATAGATATTTTATTTTTGTATTCATTTATATTTTTAAAATATACTTTATCATTTCAGTGGAATACAATTTGCTTGGAAGTGCCGTATTCCAGTCTGAAATTGGTTGCAAACAATGTGGTCATATTGCTGAAGCGTTTGGAGCGACACATTCCGGTTCTGGCCATAGCATCGGCCATCAACGAACGTTTAACGGACATGCTAATGGGATCTCGTTTGCCCGACTACGGCTGGAACTTTAGCAACTTCCAGCGCGTCCTCATGCACTCGGAAGCTGTGCGTCGCCAGACATTCGAGAAATGGCCGCACATGGACTATAAATGGGCGCTGCCAGATCAAATGGCACAAGCCGGCTTTTACCATCAGCCATCGTCATCAGGCGAAGATCGAGCTATGTGCTTTACGTGCAACGTGTGCTTGGTTTGCTGGGAAAAAACAGATGAGCCCTGGAGTGAGCACGAGCGCCACTCTCCTCTCTGCCCGTTTGTTAAGGGGGAATACACACAAAATGTACCGCTATCCATTAGCTACGCCACCAATCCGGCAGTAACTTCGCCGGGCTTAGGATTTGATGTCATTTCTAACAGCGACTACGCCAATGTTCTATGCACCAGCTGCACCCAGACTGGCGAGCTAAGCGTGTGGAGTATTGAACGTCATCTGAAGCTCATGCACAGCTTTCATGTGCCCACACTACTCAAGGAGCTGTTCGAGGAGAACTTTGAGTGGGCGCGCGTTACTGCCATCTGCGTGCTGCCGAATGCGCGCGCCCGGGCTAAAGTCAACTATGTCTACTCGGAGAACTATAGTGGAACGGGCAGCAGCAATGGTGCTGCTCACGCTAGCAGCATGCACGGCGGCAAGTTTGGTGGCGTTAATACACAGCACATAACATCCACATCGACGCTGCGAGCCGGAGTTGTGGGCTCAAAGATAGTCCTTGGTGTAACGGTGCGCCAAAGCAGTGGCGAGACGGCATTGCGCATGGTGGTGCTCAACATCGTGGAATTGGATAGACACAGCGAGAACTCGGCCGTTATTAGCAATGACAGTGGCAGCGTCTCCAGCATGGGAGGCCAGATCAAAAAGACATCTTCGCAGTTAGGAACCAGTAAGTTCTCTTTATGCTTTAGCTTGAGCAAGTATTTTTTATGCATATTATCAATAATTGGCAGATTAATTCTTTTGGGTTTTGTTTAATGATGTATTCATATTTCTTGGTAGATCGTATGCTCTTATGTTTTTGTGTATCTTTTTCTATTCACAGCTTCCAGTGACTCGAATGTTGTCGCTAGCCAAGTGAGTCTTGAATCTTCTAAGGATGATGACAACAAATCGTTGACGCCATATGAAAAATTCGCTGACGGCTTTGACAGCAACGGCTTTGTGTCCGCTTTAATGACTTACAATAAAAACAATGATGTTAACCAGAGCGGCAACAATTCTTCTGTGTTGTACGACTTTGATTTGTCGACGTTGTCGCAAATACTGGACAGCAATCTTGATGATTCTTCCTCAGGCCTAATGGTCTCCTCGAATACAGTGAATGTAAGCAACAGCTTGCTAGGCATGAGCAATGACATGGACAAGCTGATGGATCAGGCCGATGTTTCACATCAAAACAACAATAACAACAATGACAACACTATGGGTGTAGTCTCCTCCAATAACAACAATAACAACATCATAAATGGCAGCAACAACACGAGCGACAAGTTGAATAGCAGCGAGGAAATTGACTGTGTAGTAGAAAGCTGGACGAGCGTTAAGCGCATGAATGCCTTGGATGGAGCACATAGTACGAAAGGAGGGCAGTTAGATGTGCAGGAGATAGTGGAGATTGACGAAATTATGCCCACCAGTCCAAAGTGCAATCAGTTGCTGGTTAAGCTGATGCGTACCAAAGCCCCAGATTCGGAGGACACGAAGATCATAATGGCTACAGTCGCCAAAGAAGAAGAAGAACAACACAATATACCTACGGATGTTGGTGAGTAAAGCATTGATTTCCATTGTAATGTATTTGCATATAATAAATTATACAGCCTAAACAACTAAGAGAAACTAATTCATTTGAATTTACTAATTTCAGACGAGAACAATGCCGAATGCAATGTGGCAGCACAGCTGCTCCTCTTTGACTACGATGACGTCCAAATCTCCAATGATTATACTCTTGCCATGACCTTTAGCCGGGCTAAGTGTCCCAAGCAGCTGTGCATCCTGCCACCCTTTGTGTCTACAGCCTCGGCTGAGATCAAAGAGACCGGCTCCATTTGCGTCGTGTGTGCCGATGGATGCATTGAAATTTACTCCTTAGCCGATTTTCAAGTAACGTCGGTTATCGAGGAGGAGGGTGAGCACTTTGAGGCCGTGGTATATTGCCGAAACTTGGACCGTCTCTGCTGCTGCTCGCGCCAGGGAGGAATGCTGTTTTATTCGCTTAACGACGGCGAGAACGACTCTGGTGATGAGCTGTTGGAAATGGAGGATGACTGCAGTACTACGTTGACACATGCTATGGACTTAAGCGTAACGGATGGCGTGCGCAATTTACCCGGGGCCGACCCTGTCATAGGCGACACAATGATATGCGGCGATGGGGGCAGTGATGCGGTCGCCGGAACATCAAGTCAAAATGTACATGTGCAGACTTCGCCATCTGCTGCATCGCTGATGGGCAACAACGCAAACCTGCTAGCATACAAGACTTCTGACTTGACTCTCGATGACTTGCGTGTATTATATGCTCTGACGCAGTTCGATGACAAACTAACAGTGTACTCAGCTGAGGTGCCAAGCTGCTGGAACGATCTAGGCCAGGTGCAAAAGCAGCGTAAACAGTCGCAAAATATGCGTCATGGCGGCGATGAGCGAGACTTTACTCGGACTTGGAGATTGCACAATGATGCGTAAGTCGTAAAACTGTAATACTTTAACTTGTATTTTAATTATTTTATTTTATTGTTTAAGAACCACATGGGACGAGCACATCATTGAGCTTAATCTGGCTCAGCCAGTGTCCTTGGGTCACATCGACCTAAAGTTTACTGTGTACCAGCAGTGCTCCAATCCGGCAGCCATTCAGGTCACCCTGCTCAAGCAGAACACCAATGGATTTGGCTACAGAATGAAAGGACCACACGCCAGCTACAAACCCAACGTCATCGATGATAACATAGACTTCTCTTACAGTGAGACACAAAATAGTAATCTTTTCATATTCTTGGCTTTATGCAGCTCTATATTTATCCATAACTTACAGTTGCCAGCGAGAATCCTGTGCTCAGTGAGGAGTACCTGTTGACCCACAATGCCGAGGTGCTCGCTGGCCCCATTGAGCTGTCCTCGTGCATTGATCTGTGTGATCAGGGCGGCACCGCCACCCTCACTTC